TGTCTGGACTTCCAACTGGTTCTGTGCAGCTCAAACATAGTTGAGGGGGAGAATCACCAGAACAGAGCCTGTAAAAATGGCGTGGCAGAGGCATATGACTTCCTGAGCCATTGCCTAGGTCAACTGCTCTCCAGCCTGGTCTCTGTCTTGCTAACAGCCAGCGTTAGAAAGTTCTGTTAGGCATCCCACGCAGCCAACAATCCTTCTGCCCAATGTTTCTCCGATTTCCTGTGTGGTAGGCTGGGAAGCCCACCACGCTATTGGCACTGGTCTCCTGTCTCTGCTGCCAGTTCTGGCTCTCTTGTGTCGCCTCTTCTGTCATAGCTGTCTTTCTGTGTCTCCTGGATTTAGGAGGCTCCCATGCTCAGCAACTAGCTCTTCTTGGTGGTGGTAAGGTTCCCTTTACATGACTCTAGGATGGCTCATTTAGTCCTAGTAGGATGGCAAAACAGACAAATCCCCTCTATAGGGTTCTAGATACCTTATTTGTATACTCACATCCAACAGCTGTGCCATGCACCTGATTTGCATTATTAGCAAGCTATCCAATCCCTTTGGTGGGTAACCAGTAGCTTATTTGCATAGTTCTATAATGCGCCTGACTGCAAAGCCATTTCAACTGCAAAGTCAGTGGTTCAAGCTCACCAGCTGCTCCTCGGAAACCCTATACTGGGTTGCTGTGTGTTGGAATCGACTCGACGGCACTTAACAACAACAACAATCCAGTCACTTATTTGGAATCCTGATGTGAAACTTTATGATAAACACTGGAATGCTAACCACAAGGTTGATGGTTCAAACCCACCATCTGCTCCTCAGAATCCCTTATACAGGGATGCTCTGAGTTGGTCAACAGCACTTAACAACAACCATCCAGTAACTTAGTGGGAGTTACAAGACCATGGTGATAGATGTCCTATCGAAGTGATCTATCAGAAAGTGTGCTGGAATGGGGGAAATTTTGCATTGATGTCTTGCTACAAGTGCATCCGACCTCCAAGCTTTCTGCCAATTCCTAAACTAGCCATCCCTCCCAAGGTGCTCTCAATTCCTCTACTGAGTTCGATAAATCATGGCTACAACCACACAGAATTCACAGATAATATTGACAACTGTGGCATTGCTTCGAGATGTACCAGGGTACAATTTAGGATCAAGACAGTTTTCCTGCTGTGGCCAGCCTTGGACTCTCTTCTCCTTCAGTGCCCTGAGTCTCATGGACAAATGGGCATCTCTGCCCTGCCCTGGCCGTAATTACAAAGCTCATTAGCTCCATTGATGAGTGCTTGAAGGAAGCATCTTGACTGAAAGCGTATGTTGTTGTTAGGAGTCAGGTATAAAGGGAACACTTTGCTCTCATCTCTTCTTACCTGCTGGTAATGAGGCCCCCCCCCTTTTTGCTCAGAGAGCTATTTCGTGCTTAGTGGTGACGGTGATAGTGGGTCTTTGAGTCGGTTCTGACTCAGAGCAACACTGTGTAGGCACAGAAAGCCTCATCTGTCTCCCGCAAACTTTTTGGTTAGTGACCCAAAAGGTAACCCACTAGGCCGCTGAGACTACTCCTACTGTAAGCCTTGTTGTTAAGTGTCAAATAGTTGGTTCTGACTCAGTGGCCCTCTGTTGGGTTTGCAAGGAGCGGCTGGTGGGTTTGAACTGCTGACCTTATGGTTCAGTGCTTTATTCCACAGCACCGCACCAGAATTCCAGATGACAAAACTAACAAATTACCTCGTTAGGTTTCCAGGACCCTTATTTACACAGCTGTTCAGATCTATCAGCTGATCAGAACTGACTCCACAGCACTTAACTACCACATCACACAGTGAGGCATGCATCTGATTTGCATTGATAGCAAGCTGTCCAATCATCTTGAAGGGCTGCAAGTACCTTATTTGCATGTTGTTATGAAGTGCTGTCAAGTCAGTTCCAACCCATTGGAACCCTTTGCAGGGTTTCCAAGGAGTGACTGGTGAGCGTGACCCACTGACCTTGTGGTTTCAACTGACTTTGCAATCCAGTGCATTAACCCACAGCACCACACCAGAACTCCTTATTTGCATACTGCTACCCAATTATTTGGAGTCCTGGTGTGGCGCTGTGGGCTAATGCATCAGACTGCAAAGTCATTTGAACTGCAAGGTCGGTGGTTCAAGCTCACCAGCTTGAACCCTATACAGGGTCGTCATGGGTCGGAATCAACTCAACGGCACTTCACAGCAACAACCCAATTATTTGGAACAGAACAGGTCTTGCACCATCCTCACATTCGTTCTTAAGCTTGAGCCCATGGCTGCTGCCACTGTGCTAATCCATCTCATTGGGGGTCTTCCTGTTTTTCTGCTGACGTTTCACTTTACCTAGAATGATGGCCTTCTCCATTGACTGGTCCCTCCTGATAACATGTCCAAAGTATGAGAGACGAAGTCTGGCCATCCTGGCTTCTAAGGAACATTTCTGGTTGTACTTCTTCCAACACCAATCTGTTCGTTTTTCTCGCAGCCCATCACACCATATTGGGTTAGTTCCAATAGTGAAACTTTGAAAACTCCACGGCACAGAACCACCATCTTGTGACTTGGAGTCCTGGTGTGGCGCTGTGGGTTAATGCGCCAGACTGCAGAGTCGTTTGAGCTGCAAGGTCGGTGGTTCAAGCTCACCAACTGCTCCTCCTCAGAAACTCTATACAGGGTCACTATGGGTTGGAATCGACTCGATGGCACTTAACAACAACAACAACATCTTGTGACTGATACATAAATTCTGTAATGTCGCATACTTAAATTGTTACTTCAAATTGTATATATAACTTCAGCCTACTTAGTAGGTGATGCCTAAATATGTGCATGGTTGAAGACCTTCACTGTTTCTCCAGCTCAGGCTATTAGCTTTCTGTGGCATGTTTGCCATATGTTTCCAGACTCTCATGTAAACTTCTGAAAGTTTCATTGATTTATTTGTCATTCTTAGTGAGAACCACACTTGACCATAAATTGAGTGTTTTGTACTTAATGTGGTAGGCGTAGGCATCAAGCTTTTTGTCTTTTCACATATATATCTGGTTTTCCAAGTAACATTTTTGGGAAGAAAAAAATAAACACTATTTTTACCCATATCACTACAAATTCTGGATCTTAAAAATTCAAGGATATAGAATGTTCTGAGTCACCAAATATAGGACGGTCAACAGTATTGAGGGCCTTGTGTTAAGTAAAATGCTAGGAACAGTGGCAGCGTCTGGGCCCCAAGATTACGTACCACTGACATTGAATTTTCCCTTCAGCCTTCAGGTCCTGGCTCCCCAGTAACAAGAAAATCACATGGAAGAAGGAAATAGAGGTGGCAGGATTTGTGTATTGTCATTTCTGGGAATGATTTTCATGGGAGACAGAAATTTCTCAACACAAACTAAAACAGATCCGGAAAATACAAAAACAAAACATCCCAGTTACTGGCATTGTTCCAAGAACAAGAGACGATGATCAAGATTCAGGTGACTTTTGGGTGGTTTTAGCCTTTCCTTTGTTTCCTAGTTGTATTTCTTGATATTGTTAAGAGCTTTCCAGTCTGTTCTGACTCATAGCAACTCTGTATAGGGTTTCTGAGGAGCGGCTGGTGAGCTTGAACAGCCGAACTTGGGATTCAAACCAACTTTGCAGTCCAGCGCATTGACCCGTATCTCCATATACAAATTGTATCTGTAGAAGCCAGTAAGATGTCAGTTCAGTTCACCTGAGAAGTACAAATCTGGCAAAATAAAAATCTCTAGAGGATTAAACGTTCTCTCTGGCTTTGTGATCAGGCAGCGTGGCCTCAGGCCATATGGACTTAACAGTACGTTACTGATGTTGAATGGCATTAATGAGACTGGGGACCCTTTGTGTTAATCACCCTGATTGTTGCTCCTATTGACATTAGATTGTTTTGGACTACACTACTGATGCTGTGTGTGTGTGTGTATGTGTGTGTGTATAAATATGGAGACTTCTAGCTTCCAAAGACAGCTTCACTGCTATACATTATGTTATTGTTCAGTACTGTTGAGTGAGTTCCAAGTCATAACAGTTCCATATAGGTTTGAACCATTAACCTTGCAGTTTGTAGTCCAGTGCTTATCCAGTGTCACACATTATAAAAAATTTTCACTTCGTAAGTGGGTGGATTCTGGAATATATAAATTCAGAATTGTTTACTACAATTTTGCTTTCTTACTCTGGTAACACAGTGGTTATGAGGCGGGCTGCTAATCTCAAAGTCAGCAGTTTGAAACTACCAGCCGTTCTGAGGGAGAAAAATGAGGCTTTCTGCTCCCGTAAAGATTGATAGCCTCGGAAACCCCGTACAGGGTCGCTATGAGTCAGAACCAACTCGACGGCACACCACCACCACCAACCACCACCACACTATATATGGAGTCCTGGTGTGGCGCTGTAGGATGAGCACGCCACTGCATGATCGGTGGTTCAAATCCACCAGCCATTCCTCAGAAACCCTATACAGGGTCGATTTGTGTCAGAATTGACTCGATGGCACTTAACCACATTATATGTATATATGAATGTATTTTTTAACAGAAGTCCTGATGTGGTGGTGCTACAGGTTAATGTGCTGGACTGCAAGGCTGGTTTGAACTTCGAGGTCAGCAGTTCAAGCTCATCAGCGGCTCCTCGGAAACCCTATACAGGGTCGCTATGGGTTGGAACCAACTCGACGGCACTTAACAATAACAACAACAATATTTTTAAAAAGTTAAATACATAGATGTTGTTGTCAAGTGCCATTGAGTAGGTTCTGACTCATAGCCACCCTGTGTATGGTTTCCAGGCAACAGCTGGTGGGTTTGACCGCCGAGCTTGTCAGTAGCCCAGTGCTGATTTCACATGCCACGCCAGGACTCCATATTATCGATGTAGCAGCCTAGATACAGGCCAAGAGCAGAACGACGCCTGTGATGTCATCCAAGGGGATATACTTCACTTAGGATCCTCTTCACACAGGACTCAATGACGTTCCGCGACGTGGCTGTGGAGTTCACCCAGGAGGAGTGGCAGCTCCTGGCCCCTGCTCAGAAGGCCCTGTACCGGGACGTGATGCTGGAGAACTACAGCCACCTGGTGTCCCTGGGTGAGGACAGCTCCCTGTCACCGGCCTTTCCTTCCTCAGCTACTGAAATCCTTGGACTATCTGTGGTGTTCGAAAGGGGCAGCTTCTCAGTCCACTCTCTGGCTCTAGATAAGCGGGGATTATCTTTCTACTCTTAACAGGAAAACCTTTCCTCTGTGCCTTTAATCGCTTTTCCACAAACTCTGCATTCTGCAGACCTCATAAACCCAAGGCAAAGTTGTATGTCTAAGATTCTGTGATTTCCCACGAACAGGGTATCAAGTGAGCAATGCCGATGCGTTCTCCAGGTTGGAAGGAGGTGAACAACCATGGACCGTATCCCACAAAAGCCCTATTGGAATCTTCTCAGGTGAGCTAGTGAAGAGAGGTATTGGGGGTGGGGGAGGCAAGGTTGTATCATTTGCAGATCACAGATTGTGAATGCATGTGACGCCACATTCTTCTTCACATAATCCAGCTTCTCAGGTTATTTGTTCACCATACAAATTGTATAACTATGGAGAAAACATACAACCTTAGCACACACCTTCTCTGATTTTAACCCATGCAGGGTCCCCTTGTTATTGTTGGTCTATGTTTGGCCTGAGCATACTAAAGAGTGTTGGGGTTCCCATTCTTTGGAATGTTTGTCATAATTTGTTAGCATCCACATAGTCAAATACCTTTGCATAGTCACTAAAACACAATTAGGCATTGTTCTGGCGTTCTGTTCACTCAGCCTAGAGCCACATGATGTCAGCAGGGATGACCCTCAGTCTAAGTCCTTTTCTGATGACAACAGGGATTTCTGGAATTTCCCTGTTGATTTTTAAAAATGATTCTCAGTTCTTTTTAAACTATCTTCAGCGTCAATTTCCTTAAACGTAATACTGATCCTATTGTTTGGTAATTTCGGCATTCCACTGCGTCACCTTTCTGTGTTGTTGTTGTTGTTGTTGTTAGGTACCTTTGAATCAGTACCGACTCATAGTGACCCTATGCACAACAGAATGAAACACTGCCCGGTCCTGGGCCAACCTCACAATCGTTGCTACACTTGAGCCCATCTCTGCCGCCCCTGTGCCCATCCATCTCACTGGAGGTCTTCCTCTTTTTCTCCGACCCTCAACTTTACAAAACATACCAATCTGTATTTATTATGTCTTATCCAGCCTAATTTCTACACTAACCGCTTTGATTGTTTATGTGATTTTATCTTTATCAACATGCAAGAGACATTCCCATGTTGTTTTATTCACACTCATATCACAGGGTTGTCAGTGAAGACCCACCTTACACTAATGCATTTGTAAAAATGGCTTCCTTCCAAATCAAGGTGGTGGAAGGTGTTACCCAATGTTCTCTTCTTTCCTAGAAATCCAGACCATAAGTGACCATCTGCTCGGGGACTCAAACAATGAAAGAAGGGTGGACAGACTAGATCAGTGTTGTGAACATAATACTTTGGAAAATATCATTCATTGGCACAAAAATCATTTCTTTTTAAGGAGAAATCACAGTTTGTTTGATTTATATGAAAGAGCTTTGAAATCAAATTTCATTTTACCAGCAGTTAACCAGACCAGAAGCAATGAAACAGATGAGTTTATTCAGCATCATCGAGATAAGAAAACCTTTCTGCAGGCTGACCAGGGACAATTTTTTACTGAAAAGACCTTCCCTGAGAGTCAGAAATCCAACAGTACTAAGTCCCAACTCATTAAGCATCAGAAACCTCACAAAATAGAGAAACGGCATATGTGCAATGAATGTGGAAAAGCCTTCATCAAGAAATCTTCCCTCACTAATCACCAAATCATCCATTCTGCAGAGAAACCCTATAGATGCAGTTTATGTAGTGAAACGTTCGATAAAAATTTACGATTGATTGAGCACCATCAGACGATCCATAAAGGACAAAAACCATATAAATGCTCAGAATGTAGCAAAGCTTACTTCCATAAAAAAGACCTCAGAAAACATGAGAAAACTCATATGACAGAGAAACCCTATATATGTAGTAAGTGCGGAAAAGACTTCATCACAAAGCACCGTCTCACTGTTCATGAACAAACACATACTGGAGAGAAACCCCATGTATGTGATGAATGTGGAAAATGCTTCAGACATAAGAAAAATCTCATTATTCACCATCGAACTCATACGGGAGAGAGACCGTACCTATGCAGTGAATGTGGGAAAGCCTTTAACCAGAAGGGAAATCTCATCATTCACATGCGAACTCATACTGGAGAGAAACCCTATGTGTGCGGGGAATGTGGAAAGGGCTTTGGCCAGAAATCATGCCTGACGGCACATCAGAGATTTCACACAGGGAAATCTCCCTTTTCATGCAGTGAATGTGGAAAAGCTTTTTCTCAGAAGTCAAGCCTCAATAAACACCGAAAAATTCACACAGGCAAGAAACGTTTTAAATGCTACGAATGCGAGAAACTCTTTGAAACAAAGCAAGAGCTCATTGGGCATCGGAGAGCCCAGCTGGGAGAGCCCCCATATGGCTGTATTGAGTGTGGGAAAACTTTCGACTCGGCTTCTGACTTTTATTCACATAAAAGAAGACACAGAAGAAAGAAACACGTCAATTCAGTCAGGGTGGAAGACTCGTCCACAACAAGCCACATGTAAGCATTCTCATACAGGAGAAAAGCCCTGTGAATACCATGACCATGCAGATGCCTTCTGTGTTAGATCAGCCGTCTATAAACATCATATTGGTGGGCTCCTAACCAGTAGGAATGTAGTCCTATGAGTTAAAAGTTAAAACATGTTCAAAATGTCCAACTTTTCCAAATGGCTGTACCACTTCTTCATGTTTAACACCAACTCATTTTCCTCCTCTGACTGCTCCCCCTCCTGTCTTTGGTTTCTATAATTTGCTGCGCATCTTACACAACTCACAAATCATCAAAGACATACCTCACACTGAGGCAGAAGCCTGACAAGGCCCAAATCCTTGGCTCAGGCCGTCCATCTGAAGACCTCTCCTGAGTCCACGTGTTTTAAAGGCCGACGAACCAAGTTCAGTTGGTAAGATGACAGGCCACTGGAGATGGATAATCAGGTCAGACCATAGGCTACTGGTTCAAGTCCCAAATTCTAGAGGCTAAATGATGACAAGCTAGATGTAGCATCCACAGCAAGGGAGGGAGAAGATGCTGCTAGAACATTCATATATATTGGTGTCGATGTTAACGTCAAGGGAGCCATCTTTACTTGAACAAAGCAGTGCATGGGTTTGTAGGCTAGTGAATGGGGCAAGAGTGGTGAGGAGTCACACCTGGTTGTAAGGTAACACTTAAGATGTATCCCAGCCAATCCTGCGTCATTAACCTTATGGAAAACTCATTGCATTATGGGACTACAATCACTGTATTGACAAGCATGAAGGGAAGGATTTGAAACACTTAAGATTGGAGGACAATGACTAGAAAGGCCATGTTGAATGATTCATGGATCCGCAGGCTAGCCTTGGGCTCTTTTAGGCATTGACACTCTGACACTTGAAGGATTAACTTCCCATCCAAATAATTCTCAGTCCCAAACCCTATTAACAATGAGTCTTTGGGTCCGACAGAGTCCTAAGGATGACCTTTCACAGTATCAGCCGTCAGTCAGGTCTGCTGCAGTTGGTCCTCCATTCGGACCAGCTTCTCCAAAAGTTTGTCTCATCTTGACCCTTTATGACCTCTGGTAAAGTTGAAGGGAGAGAAGAGGATTCCCTTGTTCTGAGCCTCTCTTAAACCATCAGCACACTGTTAGATGTCCCCCACTGCATAAGACATGGAGTCATTCCTTTACCTTAAGTTATCATTTGACCTCTTTCCTCTCGTCATTCATTTTCACCCACCTTGGGTAGGAACACCACGTTCACTTACTGGATCAATCCAGGTTTCGGGTGGCAAGTGCATTTCTCAGTCCACTCCTATGCATGCTGGGTTATTGTTGTTGTTGTTATTAAGTGCCATCGAGTCAGTTCTAACTCATAGCAACCCTTTATAGGGTTTCCAAGGATGCATTTGAACCACCAACGTTGTGGTCCATCCAGTGTTTCATCACACAGCGCCACACCAGGACTCCAAATGGGTAGCATTACATATATACATTCCATATATGCCAGTGAACTGTTTCAACCACTATACCGTCAACTTGATTTTGTCAGATAGTGGGAAAATACAGCCCATCACATCAGGCGTGTAGGAATTATGGGGTACAAGCTCAGGGGTACAAAGTCTGTTCCTTAGGGAGCCCTGCTGATTTTTTAAAAATTATTTTATTGTGAATTGAGTGATCATTTACATGGAAGAATATCAGTTTCACACTCAACCTATCGTATTTTGTTTCCTTGCAATGATTGCAATCCCCTCCATGTATCACCACTCAACAGTATTTGCTTCTGTTCCCTCTGTTTGTTTTGTTGTATGTTTGTTTGTTTGATGTACACAAAAACACTCAGGAATATATAATCATTTAAATAACCCAAGGGCACATTCTGAAAGCCTGCCTCCTGGCTGCCAACACACAGCCTTTCTCTTTCTGTGACTCCAGGGCCCTCAGCCCTGCTGCTTTTTTGCACCTGCACCTGCATGCCTGATCCTAGGAGTGCAGTAGCTGGACAACATTTTTTTAAAAAAGCAAATTTAAGGTGATGCAGAGAACTGTAAGGAGGTCTGATAACATAGTGATTACGAGTCGGGCTGCTAACCTCAGGGTCAGCAGTTCAAAACTACCAGCTGTTCCGTGGGAAAAAGATAAGGCTTTCTGCTCCTGTAAGGTTTTACAGCCTCAGAAACACTGTGCAGGGTCACTATGAATCAAAAGCAACTCCACAGCGCACCATGGAGAACTGTCCAGTGGCACCGGTGTCCTCTCATGCCCTCTTCTACAGATTTCACTAGAGAAGTGTAGGGCTCTGCCCAGTGCTAATCCTTCTGACCCCAAGAGACTGAGCATGAGCGCACATTCGTGAAGATGTAGCAGCCTGCTCTTTATGATTTCTTTCTCCTGGCATTACAGATAACAAACGTTTCAGTTGCCCATTCAAGTTCTCCATTAAACCATAACTCTAAGAATGCTGGGAGTCCTGGTGTAGTGCTGTGGGCTAATGCGCCAGACTGCAAAGTCATTTGAACCATAAGGTCAGTGGTTCAAGCTCACCAGCGGGTCCTTGGAAACCCTATACAGGGTCGCTGTGGGTTGGAATCGACTTGATGACACTTGATGATAACGACTAAGAATGCTGTGCAAACTGGTATTTCCAATTAACATTTTGGTTCCATTGCTGCCCCTGTGGGCTGTGAGTTGTAGTCCTTGGCCTGAGGAAATATCACTAGGTGATTATAGTACCCTTGTCTCAATCCCTTGATGTTGTTTTAGGCAGGGACATGCAAAGTCTAGAGTAAGTATCCCCACAAGGGCCCATTTGTAGCCACTTGGTACCACTGGTATTTTTAGTCCAAATAATTAACTTGCCAGTGTGGTGCAATAAATTATTTGATGCTGTGGACCGCTTCGGCTACTCTCTGTGTCCGGTGTGGAGAGATTAAACCCGAGCAGGGGTGATGGGAGATTGGAAAGAAAAGGAAGACACAAGACACAAATGAATTAAGTAAAGTTGGGACCAGGTGGGATGCAGCACTCTGATGGAGATACTGTGACCCAGACCAAGTGCAGCAAGTTTATTTTATACACATATCAAAGGGCTCAAGCATGGCAACAATAGTGAGGTTGGCCCAAGATCGGGAAGTGTTTCGTTCTGCTGTGCATAAGGTTGCTATGAGTTGGTACCGACTCAATGGCACCTAACAACAATAACATCAAAGGGAGGTGCTTGGGGCAGGGAAAAAAGTGCAAGAACATCTGATGGCGTTTGTGCATGCAGTAAGCAGGACTTTATCAGAAGAATGTAACTTGTGGTAGCTAGCCAAAACAGATTAGAGCAGCTAGATTTTTGTGCAGACTGAGCTGAAGGTCATGGCTGTGTACAAGGAAAGACCTTGCAAGTTCCCTATCCCCTGAGGCAGCCCTGCAAGTTCCTCAGGGGGCAGCTTGACTTGGGTGCAGCCCGAGTTTCTGGACTACAACTGTTCAGTTGCGATCCTTTGGTTAAATTACCCCCAAGTCAGAGACCCTCAGCTCAGTTGCTCCCAACAACTTTATATGGCTCCATTGACCATATTCTTTGCAGTTCCTACCAACTGGCTGGGTGATTGTTATTGCTATTAAGTGCCCTTGAGTCGGTTCTGACTCATAGTGATCCTGAATAGGGTTTCCAAGGAGCGACAGGTGAGTTTGAACTGTTTTGTTTTGTGGTTCAAACTGACCATGCGGTCCATACTAGCTGGGTTGTTGTTAAGTGCTGTCGAGGCGATTCCGACCCATAGCGGCCCTCATTAGGGTTTCCAAGGAGCAGCTGGTGAGCTTGAACCACCAACCTTGCAGTTCAAATGGCTTCACAGGCTGACACATTAACCCACAGCGCCACACCAGGTAGAACTGTGCAAATGTGAGGTGATTGTGACTAAGGAAGAGGATTGAATACCTTGCTATTAATAAGGAGCTCTGGTAGCGTAGTGGTTACGAATCGGGCTGCGAACCTCAAGGTCAGCAGTTCGAAACTACCAGCCGCTCTGCGGGAGAAAGATGAGGCGTTCTGCATCCTGTAAAGATTAACAGCCTGGGAAACCCTGTGCAGGGTCAGAACCGAATCCATGGCACACAATGTTGATAATGGACTCCTAGTGTGGTGCTGATAGCATAGTGGTTTCGAATGGGGCTGCAAACCACAAGGTCAGCAGTTCGAAACTACCAGCTGTTCCACGAGAAAGATGAGGCTTTCTGCTCCCGTAAAGATTTACAGCCTCGGAAACCCTGTAAAGGGTCGCTATGAGTCGGAACCGACTCCACGGCATATAACAACAACAATGTGGCGCTGTGGGTTAATGCACTAGACTACAAAGGCGGCTTGAACTGCAAGGTCAGCGGTTCAAGCACACCAGCCACTCCTTGGAAACCCTATATGGGGTCGCTATGGGCCAGAACCTACTCTATTGCAGTTAACAACAACAAAGAGAACAAAGGGTTTCAGAGGGAAGGAGGGTCTGTTGGCAACTTCCTAACGTGTGCATAACTAAAGCAGGAGGCTCCTTCCTATCATGTTGTTGCTGTTGTTAGATGCCATCAAAAGTCTTTTGTGACGCACAGCTACCGTATACACAACAGGAAACACTGGCCGATCCTGCGCCAGATTTACAATCCTTGTTATGCCTAAATCCATTGCTGCTGCCACTGCGCCAATTCATCTCATTGGGGGTCTTCCGCTTTTTCCCTGACCTTCCCTCACTTTACCTAGAATGATA